CTTGAACAAATATGACAGGCGTATCCGTAAAACAAGACATAAAATTGCTCTGGCCTTAGTTCAGATGTACAGAGTACATAGCTTCCATAATGTGTGTAGTTTAGGAACCTGTACTTTTTTATACTCTCCAGGCCTATTTGGGCTGATTTTGTTCTGGAGATACTATTTTTGTGTAGCGTTTGCTGCCATTGTTTTGTTTTTTTATGCAAAAATATAATATATTACTAAGAAGTGAATTGAAATCATCATCAATCCACTGCAGAACGTCACACTGTTAACTTAATAAATGTAGAAGGTATGATATAGAAAGTGAGGTATTCCATGATTGTAAACAAATTTAAAAAACCAAAACTCTATTAAGATTACTATTTATTATCTACTGACAGTGAGTGTGTTGCAATCTCAAGCAGTTGTGCGACAAGTAGTAGCCAAGCAATACTTATTCACCTACTAAGCTATTACACATAAATACGATAACCTGCCATTCTGGAATAGTTTGTTTCTTTGTACATATACATGTTTGTCAGTGTTTTCACAATTACAGATTGTTTTTCAACTACTATATTGTTCTTTTTCAATAAATTTTAAACATGTTTCATAGCATGATTTTGAGTCACATTCTAGCATTTATCTTATGAAATGTTTTCTGATGTTTATACAAACTTTGAAAAGTGCACATCGGCAATGGTAAATTTCAATATAAAAGAGTATTATACAAAGTATGACACTGAAGTGCCCTCTCTTATTTGTATCAACTGCGTTAGTTTCTTTGGTGTGAGATTCAGACACCAAACACATGATTCTGTGATGCGGATGGTTGGCATAACCAAACAGAAAATCTTTTCTATCTGAGTGAGGAGAGAGTTGTGTGACAAGTAGTACTTGGTGTGAGGAGAGAGTTGTGTGTGAAGTAGTACTTGGAGTGAGGAGAGAGTTGTGTGACAAGTAGTACTTGGTGTGAGGAGAGAGTTGTGTGACAAGTAGTACTTGGTGTGAGGAGAGAGTTGTGTGTGAAGTAGTACTTGGAGTGAGGAGAGAGTTGTGTGACAAGTAGTACTTGGAGTGAGGAGAGAGTTGTGTGTGAAGTAGTACTTGGAGTGAGGAGAGAGTTGTGTGACAAGTAGTACTTGGTGTGAGGAGAGAGTTGTGTGTGAAGTAGTACTTGGAGTGAGGAGAGAGTTGTGTGACAAGTAGTACTTGGAGTGAGGAGAGAGTTGTGTGACAAGTAGTACTTGGAGTGAGGAGAGAGTTGTGTGACAAGTAGTACTTAGAGTGAGGAGAGTGTTGTAAGGTGTACTCTCTCCATAGTGTCATCCAGAACAGAACAGAACAGAATTTTATAACAGGCCTCTGGCCCAAAATACATGTACATAAATTGATGATAAGTAGAGCACATATATATTTCATTTAGATTTGTGTTTCTTGTCAACAAAGTATAAAAACAGACATACATCCTGAACAATATTAACATTTTTACTCTGTAATATTGATATAAAATTAATAATTGATGGACATTTACTAAAATATTTTGATATGTACTTATTTCTGATATGAGAATATGCATCACAGATATAAAACACATGCCATTCATCTTCAACAACGAAGATACCATTTAATTTACAAAACAGGCAATGCCTTTCATTATATGCAACATCAGTGTATCTGCCCGTTTCAACTGCTAGTTTAAAATTACAGCACCGAAATAGTGTCATCCAGTAGCATGCAAAACAAAAGTTAATGTGAAATTCTGATTGACTAAAAACACCTGTATTGACATTGAAAGTCTGGACATTTTCAAGACTTTCCAAGGACATGAACTGTATTCATGATGCAAAACGAAGGAAAAGTTAAATATACAAAAAAAGATAAATATGCAAACAGCATGGACATGAGTATTGCCTTCATTTGCCTACGGCAGACAGATCCTCCAGTATATAATCTTGAGGCCTCTCCATCAAGAGCACAATACCTTAACATCAAATTCAGCATCTGACACAGACAACGAGGATGATGACTGACTGAGTTTGGTTTTACGCCGCTTTTAGCAATATTCCAGCAACATCACGGCGGGGGACACCAGAAATGGGATTCACACATTGTACCCATGTGGGGATTCGAACCCGGGTCTTCGTCGTGACGAGCCAACGCTTTAACCACTAGGCTACCCCACCGGCTACCCCACCGCCCACGAGGATGATGATGTCAGGGATGTGATTGCAGTTGCTGGAGGTTATACCAAATATGGACATTGCGCTCAGATATTGATACTTATGCCATACAATCCTCAAGAATTATATATTCTTGATATTTACAGCATTTGTTAACGTCATATGAGCATAGTTATCAGCACTACTAAATGAGTCAAAATGAGTCATGTTTGCTTCTTTAAATAAACAACAGTTTTTCTGGCTTTTTTTCATCAGATTTGCCAATTAATTATTCCATGAAGGTCAATGGATCCAGATAGTAAGTTAAAGTGATGTCTACAATAAGTTCCTCTGCTGTGGTTAATGGTAACATATTGATACTATGAAAGATACAGGGTGCTGTGATACTTGTTTCCATGTGTATAGATGTAAGGATAGAAAAATCGAATACTTCTCAGAAATCCTTGACTATTCTAAACAATCAAAGCCAGCTGAAATGTGCTGAATTACAGACACACACATCACCAAAATAGTGTGAGTTTAGTTTTGCGCCGCTTTTAGCAATATTCCAGCAATATCACGGTGGGGGACACCAGTAATGGGTTTCACACATTGTACCCATATGGGGAATCGAACCCGGGTCTTCGGCATGAAGAGAGCACACTTTAACCACTGGCCTACCCCACCGCCCCATCATAACCCAAAAATGATTGCATTGGAATGAAGATTGTCATGTCTCTAGCCATAAAACAGCTGTCATTTTGCCATCTGTCAAAAAATTACAGTAATAAAAAGGACAAAATTGCCCATGAATGTAAAAAAGGGAGATAAATACACAGAAAAGGGAGATCACTCTAGATACTCTAGAAAATAATTTTACAACTCAAACTGCTGTCATTTTCAATTCATGCTTGAGTACTTTGGGTTCATACAGACACTGTAGTCATAAAGCAAATGTCAGGTTTATCGTGTGCGAAATACACAGTATGTCGGAAAGTGCACGTAAAATCTCCAAATCAACATCATCATCATCGTCGACATCTGATTCAATTATACAATACATTTAGAATAAAGCTGAGTTCCTCAAACTAATAAAAATAATCAGAAACTAATTACCATTCACACAGAATTTCTGCTGAGATCAACTTAGAAAGAAACATAAATTATAGTTGCTTACACTGGTTTCCTCACTACATGTTAACATGAGTGTGTGATGCTCTTCCATCAAGCAGTTCTAGAAAACATCATTAATGTTTTTGAAGCAGCTGAAATTATCGATCAGTCAACAACATATTTGCATGCCTTCAGGCCAATGTACAAAAAATGAATAAACCAAGATTTTTTCCATTTGAATAAATGGCAAACATTCATGATTGTTAAATATAATTTTAACAATACACATGGGTGGGAGAAAACAGACACATGCCACCTTAATGTTGTTACTTTGACTAAAAAAACGCATGAGTTGACCAAATTTAAGAGATGAAGGAAACTGTTTGTATAAACATGAAAAGGCACTTGTGTAAATAGTCAGATATACTGAAACCTCGCAGGTCCAGAAAACACTCCTACTGTGCAATCATTTTATGTCCACAATATAGCACTATAAGGACATTAATCTAAGTCATGATTTGATAATACAGAAATTTGATATAAGAGGAAGACAACATGAAGAACTACTACTACTACTACTACTACTTGTAGTAGTACAGGAGAAGAACAAGAAAATTGGATTAAAAGGAAACAAGAGAAATCAAGAAAGAAACACACAAATACATTTCAAGCCAACAGGAAACAAGCGCCTGATATTAAGTGTTAGAATATCATGGGGTGCAACAAAAACACAGTCAAGTTCCAGATTCTCCATTAGATGAAGAGACACTGTTTTAGTTACATCTATGTCATCCTTACTATGTTTCTGTGGAGACAGTCGAGATTGTTAAATGAATATGAGATACAAAATATCAGCTGGTGTGCATTGGTGGAGCTAGTTCAAATATCTCACAAATATAATAAAATGTACTCAAATTTATCAACACTTCATAGAACTTCCCAGAACTTCACTTTCTCCTTGGGCTAGTGGAAAGACAATTTGCTCACAGAGGAGAAGGTTGTTGGTTTAGTTGCAGAAATAACACTAATCCAATTTAAACACATATATCTAAGAAATTCAATCAAGCACGGGTAAATGGCGGGAGTAACTATGACTCTCTAAGGTAGCCAAATGCCTCGTCATCTAATTAGTGACGCGCATGAATGGATTAACGAGATTCCCACTGTCCCTATAAAATCTAAACAAAGCTCAGAACAATTCTTAATCATAGTTTTGAGTTGGAAACCCTTTCTCAAAGGTGTAGGAGACGGATTAAATGCAACCCATTATCCTCGCAACTCACCCAGAACATAATCACTACCCAATCCTAGATTGCTGACTAACATACATTAATAATCTTGAATGTCAGAGGTACAGATAAACTACGTATCTGCGTAAAGTATGCAAAAGATTATGTGAAAACTCAATTCATATTAAGTCTAGTGCGTTCAAGTACGCTTGAATTTTTGTAAATACTCAATATATTAGATCTTACACATAAAAATGTCAAATCTTGGTGCATAGATAAACTAACTGAGGTATACTGAGTATATAGTTCTATTTCAACACATGAACAAGGCAACTTGCAGTCTTATCGTTTCTCATATTACAGATAAAATATAAATAACATATAAACTTCATGATACTTTTACAATTAATGGAAAATGACAAAATACCCAATTGAGTTTGAGTGAGGTGGGTACAATATATTTGGTTACTCAAAGGAAAATTAGGATACCCAATTGAGATGAACACAAGCGAGTACACATCTCAATGACCCAAAAAGTTATCTGTAGCTCTGAATGTTTTTACAATCATATCTCAGTTAAGAGACCAGTTAAACAATTTGATGTTGGGTAAAAATTAATCCTTTAAGTTTAAAGACATTATCCCACAAACTCCCAAAATATTTCTAAAAACGTTGAACTCCTGTGTTTAACATGTGTATGTGTAAACATAATCGTTAAATCTCGATCAATCATCGGTAAATATCAGTGTAGAATCTAGTAACTGGGAGCAAAAGTGCCAAAACAAATCTGAAAAAAAATCAATATAATTCACATTACTGGTGAGTTGTGACATAATTATGTTTGGATGACTAAGAAAACAACACCCTGAATATAATTTAGAAGCAGCCCATGAATAAACTTTGAGCATTGTCTGAACAAATTAAAAAGTCATTTCATATATTAGTATGTACACTATTATTGCGGACATAGTTTTCATATTGCTAATCATGAATAATTTTTCCCATTGACGATATTTCCGATGATCAATCTTTTTAGCCAGCCCTAATACAGACACAATATATTTTGTGTTTTGCCAAATATAGATTTAAAGGAAAGAATAACAGATTAGAACAGACATCACAGCTCCATACTAACATATAATCTAAACTCTGTTTTACAGTAACTATTGATTACAGATGTATAGGGAATGTAGTTTCATATCACATGTTGACTGATCACTAGAAGAAATATCACAGTTGGAACTGGGAACACATCCAGTCATTTACTCTACTGATATTAAACAAACTAAACTTGAGCAAAACTCAGTTACATAATTCTGATGTTTACAGTTTTCAGAAATCACAGTCATGATAAACAACTATCACATTATACCTTCTAAATATATTTTGAATTATTTCTAAGCTATAACAATTACACAAAAAAATAGTAGATTATGTACACAATTCAGTACACAGACATGTACCCTAGAATTGGAACCTTGTATGTTACAAGGTGGACAAATCCGTTTTCCCAAACTGGAAACTGAAACCGTGTTAGAAGTCGTTCTTGTTCAGCTGATTTCGACTGCATGCTGGATCATGATCTATATCTTGCAAAGTATGCGTGTTGTATGTATTTCACTATGTGTGCTAGTTTTCTATATAGCTAGAGTGAGTGAGTTTAGTCTTTCACCGCTTTTAGCAATATTTCAGCAATGGGCTTCACACATTGTACCCATGTGTTTCCAACTTATTTTTAAGGGAATCGAGAATCCCAGGTCCTAAAATAGCATGCAGCATGAGTGAATGCTTTAACCACAAGACTACCATACCGCCCCTTAGTTAGAATGCATATTATACAATGGTATGATTGTACTGATTCAGAAACTGAAGAAAATGTTCTATGTTAAGGGTCAAGGAACTGGTTAAGCCCACTGCACTATGTGGAATGGACAAATCCCAGGACAGTGTTCTGTACTCTGATTGGTCTATTTTTGTATACAAACATATGTCAGTAATAACCGTGCTGGCAACAGTCCCTTCAGCCCTAATGATGCATCTGCAGATACTAGCTGTCTGCATGATTAGTAAAAGTCCATGGAACAAATTCCATCACTAATGCATATGAAACACTAATAACTGTGCGTTTTAAGACAGTTGAGAAATCTGTTAATAAATATTTACAAATACAAGGTTAAAAGTTAATGTAAAACAAAATGAGAGAATAAATGCTGCTCTAAGTGAGAGATTGAGTATGGTATAGTGTCACTTTTGCAATATTCCAACAATATCACGGGGTGGGGAGAGGGAGGGAAAGACACCACCACTCTTAAAGGTGGACTCATTACTGTTATTAGGTTGGGGCTGCCTGATTGTTTTTTATTATGTACAAGCATGGATTTAGGATAACAGTAAAATCAGCCACAATCTGATTTCACTATTACATCAACAGGGAGCGGGCATCCTCGTCAGATACAGCTTTGTAATTTCATGCAGATCACAAAACCACCAATAAAATATTTAACTTGTGATATAACTCTTATTGAAATATCAAACTTCGTTTTCCAATATTTGAAGACAGTATTTACATACAGATTATCAAAACATTCAGCATTAGACAAATCTCCTGGTACATTACACTATTGTCTGGGCTATTTTCTATGGACCAGTGGACAAATTGTGTCATATTGCTTAATAATATTGCTTCAGTGTTCGTTTTGTTGTGGTGGCAGCATTAACAGAAGGAAAGGATCTAACTATTATACGATAAAGTTTTATGATACACTATACACAATAATACATACCAGCAAATATGAATGAAAAAAACTGAGATGGACAAAATATTTTTTTCATTTGTTGTCAAATCCTACAATCAGCAATATTCCAGCTATATGACTGTTTTCTGTAAATAATTGAGTCTGGACCAGACAATCCAGTGTTTGACATTGTGAGTATTGATCAAGGCATTTGGGATACGAGGACATGCATGAACCAAGTCAGCAAGCCTGACCACCCAATCCTGCTAGTTGCCTGAGTTGGGGTGCTGAAGACCAATTCCAACACGGATCTTCACAAGACCAAGAGACAACAGCTTTTTTCCTTGTGTCTAGTTGTTTACCAAAGTTACATTTCATTTATCTTTGCACAGGTGGTTACCTGAAAACAACATTTTTGAAACCTTGATATTAAATTGAGATATTCACATTTGTATAAAAACAAACAAACAAAACGACACTAAAGCAACCTATAAACAATTGTAAAGATATATGCTTTCTGTAAATTCTCTAAATGGTTGCAAACAAACTTCATCTGAGTTGATAGTTATCACAAAGAGCCATAACCGTAGGATCGGACTCCACCCTCCTTTGAAGGATCATTCTCATTGGTCACTTCATCACCCATCGTGTAATCTGTGTCTTCATTGAGGCTTCTGATTGGATAATGGAGACTCTCCCGCTGCAGGTGCTCGTTCATACATGCCTCTGTACTTAAACCTAATTTGGACATCAACATCATCTGAAATAGATAAGAGACAATGAAAGAATCTGACAACACCATATAGGAAGTAACATTACATACCATCACGGAACGACTATTTCTATGGTCCAATGGCCAGAGTGGACATTGTCTGGGGAGCAGATGGTTGGGGGTTTGATCCGTGGACACATAATGTCAAGACATTAGAAGATGGTACTTCTTGTCACTGTGACTGGTGCTCGGCATTAAATAACATCAAATACAAGTCACATCCAACAAGTGGTTGCCTTGGTGTCAGTATACTGTGTCTGAGTGAGGCAGCCATGTTTTACTGCTGCATGGTATCTCAGAGGGGTAGCACTATCAAACTGGTGTTTGCCTACACTAGAACAAGCAGCCACACAAACACACATCACATCCAACAAGTAGTTGACCCCGTGTCAGTTTACTGTGACTTAGTGGGGCAGCCATGTTTTACTGCTGCATGGTATCTCAAAGGGTAGCACTATCAAACTGGTGTGGTTTTTTTAATTGTTTTTTTTATTGGTTCCCAAGATTGTAATATCACAGATATACAAAGCCATGTTACATATGGCTAAGGTAATATAGCCACAAATATACAGGTAAGATATCAAGTAGTTATATAATGGGGGTTCTATTACAGGGTACCTTGTAGGCTTATTTCTATGTAATTCTGCTCCCAGTGCCTAGTATAAAATAGTGATTTTCGAGCAGAGACATCATTCAATGTACAGCCAAGCTCGCCAGCCTAGACCCATTTTCGCTAGGGCTACCCATTTTTTCAGCAACTACAAATCAACTAGTGACTAGACCTCGACATGCCGAGTGGAGTTTCCTTTATAGGAGGTCTTAGAAACTCCCAACGCCTCGAGGTCTAGTTATCGAGAGCACAAAAATGGTCAGGACTACTAGGATTGGTACTACCTTTTTGCACTTTTCCCCCCGCAACAGTAGTCGAAAATGTCCAATTAGAGATTTGGTAGTTCCAATGTATAGCACTACATATAGCAGAAGATGGCAACCAAACGACTTTCCAACAAATGGGCCTGCGATTTGAAAAGTCTGTAGGAGCACATCTACTCCTAGAAAATACTGTAGACAGCAATTTTGTGTCGAATATCGCCGGCGTCGACTATCTTGCTGGCCATCTCGGTAGAACAAATCTACAACCTTTGGAAGGTCTACCTACATTCGTTGACGATATATACGTGTTTGGCTACTTCCAACGCAAAGACTGAGTTTGCAAGAACGCCAAAGTATCCTGTACAACTGGAAAGGAAAGTTCCGCACAACTCATCGTTTCCAGAATCTCCATTGCAGTACAAGAGTCTTTGGCGAACCCCAAACATGTGCAAACAAATATCCTACACACGATAGGAATACGAGAAGACAACTGTGGAGCAATAGGGGGCACCATCGCTAGAATAGAGAGAGAGACCGGAAAGAAAGCGAAAGATAAGTGGCAAGAACTATATCCGGAAGAGAAGGCATACGCTCTATTTGTAGCAAAGATAGACGTTTCCGAAATACCCATCAGCGAGCTACAAACGTCGATTCAAAAACTAGAACGCCAACTACTAGCACACGGCTATGGGCTGTATTCTATCGACTATACAAGAGATTTCTCTGTTGTGCTGGATCGCAAGCGACTGGTGGAATACCTTTGGAAGAAACATGGTTTCCAGAGCAAGGAGACTTGTCTTCTGCTAAGCAGTCGAACAGTCCAACAATTCTAGACAATACGGGTAGCGTTGGGGCCCACGTCTGTACTTGAGTCGATACCTGGAATGGCTATACAATGCGAACGAAACTCTACAACATGGTTGTTTCCAATTTCGAAGCAGGAGAAGTCCGGGAGCAAATAGGTGGACATCTGGCAGACTATGTGGATTGCCCAAACCAACACTTGCGGAAAACTTGTCCTCCAGACACCAACTCGTTCGTAGTACAACCACCAGCAAAACAATGGGAAAACCTATCGAAATGTGTAGACTGCTGTCTCGTTCTGGCAGATCGCCCACAGGGCACCATATTCGTAGCTTGGTATGCACATTCGGAGACAGGTAGAATTTCTGGGGTCCGTATTGCTCCTACAAGAGCAGACGACGATGCTACGTGGGAGAAAGCGATAGAATGGGCTGCAGCAGATTTTGGTTTCCGAGCATGTCCAATATTTCGGGTAGATATACTCTCCGCTACAGATACTGGTGTGGAGCTAGGTCCACTACGTTGCTATACAAAGGATCCCGATGCCAAAACGATACTGTCTGCGAGTAGAAGACCAACCCAGCTACATCCAAATGGAGCCAATCCAAGTATTCTATTGCCTTCTTGCAAGACAGTAGAGTGGGAATGGAGAACAGCCAAATGTAGCACCATAGGCAAGGCTTCTTCCAAATTCCAACTGCAGGAAGTACCAGAGATTGCAAAAGACAGAGAAGTATATTCTGGATCTGCTAGGGATCGAGGAAAACGATTGCAAGAAATACAAGAAGCAGCATGTGTGGAAGAATGAAGAAAAGATGCATGGGCTATCCTAGATGGCAGAAAGACAGCACGGCAGATAGAACAAGAGCAGTGTAGAGAAAAAGAACTGGAGCGACTAGGAGAAATAGTACGGGAGAAAAAGGAATACACAAAGCGATCGGAAGAAGCTCGCAAAGAGGTAGAAACGGCTCTACGAAATATACAAACGAAACAAATAGCAGACATTGCAAATACTACATGGTCCATTCTAGGATACCGCAAACAACCAGAAGGACAAACAGCCAGCAGAGTAGTCTTGTTGCAAAAAGGCGTAGAAATGCCAATTATGGTTTGGGCAAACAAAAGATTGGAGCGTGTGCTGGAAGAGAACCATGACTTTGTGGAGACCACTACGGACAAATACGGATGAAAAACCAAACTTCTAGATGTCGAGCCTGAAGAGACCACTAAAATGTGTCACAATGTGCAGGTCAGCTTGATGGGGAAGAGACAGCTCAAGTCTGTTTCCCATTTTGTTGAAGAACCATATAGACCATACTTTGTAAAGTTGGACATTTATAACACAGAATCCTCGAATCCTTTTATTCAAAATAATGAATTGTAGCATCTCAAACTACAGGGTCTCCTGTGCTCCGAGATAGATAGTCAAATATATATATGTCCAAAATGATTTTGCTGAGAAATGTTTAATTTAATGCATGTTCATATTTCCTTCTTGAAGTGCATATTGCTTCCATGTAGGAACATATAACATTGTTTATCCTGGTGACCTGGATATGAGACTGGTATTTCTGTTTCCTTGTAACCAAGGCATGAGTGGGAAAGTGAATGGGTGTTTCTTTTTCACCAGGAACAGCTATATCAGGGGCACCTGCTGGGAATAATCACAGCTGGCAGACGGTCACAATTTTGTTTCACGTGATCCCCTGACACCAAAAGTACAAGATAACTGAATTTCTCTTGTCAAACGTTTTTGCAATACTGTTACATTATCATTTTAGAGATAAACAAGATCATAAGCAGGACATAATGTACTCTAGTCAGTTTGAACAACTTGGTTTCATAAAACTGAATATTTTTCATTAGCACATATATATGCCTTAAGAGCCAGGGCCTTGATAAAAAAGCAATCTCAGCATTAAGAAGATTGTAATTTAATTACTTTAACATCGAGTATGACAATCAAAGTGCTAAGGTCACAATATGGAATGGACCTGTCTCTAGCCGTGGAGAAGACACATCGTAGTAGATAACCTGACAGGAGCAGTTTGTTTGGTCAGGGCAACCACTGTACTGCAGTTATCTCCCATATCTCAATGAGCACTGCAATAGTTGACATGGTGAGATCCACAACTAGAATGCAGTTATCTCCCTTTTCTCAATGTTGAAGAGTACAACAATAGTTGACATGGTGAGATCCACAACTAGAATGCAGTTATCTCCCTTTTCTCAATGTTGAAGAGCATAGCAATAGTTGACATGGTGAGATCCACAACTAGAATGCAGTTATCTCCCTTTTCTCAATGTTGAAGAGTACAACAATAGTTGACATGGTGAGATCCACAACTAGAATGCAGTTATCTCCCTTTTCTCAATGTTGAAGAGTACAACAATAGTTGACATGGTGAGATCCACAACTAGAATGCAGTTATCTCCCTTATCTCAATGTTGAAGAGCATAGCAATAGTTGACATGGTGAGATCCACAACTAGACTGCAGTTATCTCCCTTATCTCAATGGGGCTCAATGATACAGTGAGTGAGTGAGTTAACATTTATCGTCACATCGGCAATATTTCAGCCATATATCGCGTGGCGAGAACAGTTTATAATTATATTATAAATCAATAAAGTAGGACATTAAAAACCTGTTGTCGAAGAACAGTAAAACTACTAGTGTATCACAGATATCCATTTAAAACTAGCAATCAAATCTTGGGAACTATAAATGACAATACAATATAAAATCAGGTTATAGATTGCCAACAACTGAAGGTAGATCACCACACTAGGGACCATGGGGACTTACAGTACATTTGCTTCCTGCATGGGCCCTAGCTGGATTTACATCATCCCTCAGCTGTTAGCAATTGAGATATATCTAGCCATACATTAAAATTACACATATTCTACGATTAAAACCCGAAAAGTTGAAATTTACTTTGAATGTTTTGGGACTTCAATGATACAGAGTTAGCCAGGTCATGCATTGAAGTGTGTAAGACAGATGTTGTTTAGATTTGGAGAACATCACTGTACAGCCAGCACTTGTATGTACTTTACTTATTACAGAACTCAATGTATAGGCAAGGCATGCGTGTTCTTCTTCTGTTGCAAGGTGAAAGAAGCAAGTCCTGAACTTGTACATGCAAGAAAGAACGAGGGTATAATATATTCAGACTTTAGTATATGTCTGATCAGTTTCACAAGGACAATTCAAAGTTTTCCTTACCTTCTAAAACTGACATTATTAGCAATTCAACTTAGAATTTGTACTTTACTCTTCTTAGTATTGTACTGAATAGATACAACATACATTACTTGCTATTACTTGCCACACATCTGAATGTTTCAAAACAGAACTAGGCAGGGTAAAGGCCCACACTTTTTGGGCAGAAGTACCATCCTGGATTCAAACCCACACTTCACAGAGTGAGGCATCTAATCATCAACACACAATCAGTGACTTGACCCACTCAGACACCATGACTTCCACAAAATGGAAGTCTGTCAACTGGTCGTCTAGACCACAATCCTTGTTTACCCATCAGACAAGTGTTAACTGATGCAGCTATCATGGCCGGAAGTTATGAACACACAATGTCTTTCAGAAAGTGGCCAGATGTAACTGTTACATTTTGTATAGCACTTTAAGTGGAGTCCCATTCAGCATTCAAACCCATACTTCTCTGATTATGGCACTTAATCTCTAGGTGGTGGTGGAATTGGGTTTAATGTCGTGCTTGAGAATATTTCGCTCATATGACGATGTGCATGCGTGTGTATGTGTATGTGCGGCTGCTTGTACTAGCCCACTCTTAAGCTGGTTTTATAGTGCTAGCCCACTGAGATACCATGCCGCAGTGAAACATGAATACCCCACTCAGACACATTATACTGACTCCGAGCCGACCAGTCCTTGTTGTACCCATTAATGCCGAGAGCCAGGCAGGGACCGACAAGTACCATATTTTAACGTCTTTTGGTATGACGCGGTCGGGGATCGAACCCGCGACCTTCCGCACTCCGGGCGGACGCTCTAACCACTACACCACGGAGGCGGTTACTTAATCTCTAGGACATGTAGTCAGACACTTATCCTTCTCAGGCAAAAGGCTTCCACAAGAATGTAAGTTTAACAACTGATCCCTGATACTGATGAAAAACTTACTTTCAGCTTTGAATATAATCGTAATCCTAATGCCTGAAAAGAGAAATTTTGAAGATTAATTGGCATAAATGTAGAAATATAATTCTGTGATTGGGCATCCAGTGATCTGTATTTACAGGACCATTCTTTCAGTTCGAGATTATCAACATAAATTACTGCATTCCTCTTAAAACAGTCTGGAGACTCATTAGTTATGTAATAATTAACTGATAACATTCATATACTCTCTTGTATTAGGCAGAACTTGTTGCATGAATATTTGTTTAACTTACAGTTACAGAATTTACAGATTTGTAGATTTTTAGAGAAGTTACATAACATGTTGTAAACACAGTTTGTTTCAGTTACTTGAAAACATTGGACAGGTATCTAAATAAGTTGCAAAGATAAGCCTGTGTCATTGGTCTGATGTTAGTTAGGGAGTGCAGTCTACATTCAGGTTAATAAAGGTGTCGGTCATTATTCCAACACAGATGCCTCCTTTAGGGCACAGTGTAGCTCAACACTTACCAAATACAGGACGTACGTCAAATACACCAGGATTGCTAGTGCAATCACAATATAGATGTACCAGTCCTGGCCAGTGCCCTGGAAATAGGAAATATACGAGCTACTTCAGGTCTTTGTCTCTTATATCATTCCCCACTTCATGAAGCACTGAGAAGAACTGTCAACACTGTCATAATTAGACCTGTCAGGATGACCTAAGCCACCTTGGAAGTCCCAGTCAAATGGAAGGATGTACATGTACCTGAGCTCATCTAATCAGATGGCAGTTTCCTAAAATGATGGTATTACCTATTTGACCTATGCAATGGTGAGGTGAGGTGAAATTGGGTTTTACGTCGTGCTTGAGAATATTTCGCTCAATATTTCGTGCATGCGTGTCATATGAGCCCAGACGAAGCTGGTTTTATAGTGTGACCATATTTTATCCCACGACACATTATTGACTCCAAGTATGACCAGTCCTTGTTGGTCCATTAATGGGGAGGCGAACCAACAAGTACCTTTTTAATGTCTTTTGGTATGGCGGACGACCTTCTACGCTCTAACCACTACACCACGGAGGCGGTCACCTATGCAATGGTGCGAAGGGTGTCTAAAATAGATTTCTTTAAATAAAACATGCATATATACTTCATAAGAAAAAAGTAACAATGTGAAGTCCATATGACATTATGAATGGGTCACAACAATACATTTCAACACGCCCAATTATTGTATGCTACTGTTTACAGTAAATATTTTTAAAATGACATGATTACATTTGACAGTCCTATGATGGATGGGCAGTGAATTGTATTAATGTTCTACTTACCACAAACAAGTAGATGAGATACAGGTTAATGCCCATCACTAACAACGCCAGTATCCACACAACCATTTGCAGCACTCTTTAAAAAACAAGATTTCATAACAATGAACAAAAATATTGGACATAACAAACATATATCAGTTACTTCCATATATTAATTTGTGCAACTTTTTTACAATTTCCACATCTTGCTTGCAATCTACATCAAACAAGAGAAAGCCATTTAGGAAATTTATTTGTAGAAATATTATTACTTGTTAGCCTACTACGCCAGAGAGTATCCCGGTGTCAGGGGTTTTCGACGATGTAAGACAAAAACGTAATTTTTTATCTTTAATATAATTTAAAGTTTTTATTTTACTAACCCTGAGTGATAAATCATATATTCGTCTATTTCACAAAAATATCAAGTGTTTCCTACAAAAATAGTGTTGATGACATCGTATCGGTGAAATCGTTGCCGCTCTCCACATCTGGGGATTTTGTATGGGTTTTAGAGGATGAGCCATACTTTTTGCTCCTCACTGCGGGGGAGTGTTGTGATCACGTGGCTTCCTATTTATATACTGCCTGTCACCAGCTGACAACTGATCCTACAAAGTTTTGTTTGCTATTTTTGGTTATATAGGCAACTGATTTTGGATCTGAAGGTAAATAATATTGATGATTGTTTGCTTTTTATATAACTTAACTTCCGGATCTCCATTGTCAATAAAACTTCTCACGACAATGACTGGGCATCCACCCTAACGATGAAATTGCTTGTGCACTCGATCGCGCACATACTCCCCCGATATAGCAAGAGCAATGTAATCGTCGAAATCACCAGAACGTCGAATTCAGCTCACTTTGGGATATCTTATCATTTCAGTTACCTCCCATTCTTGAAACTTCTCATAATCCTAGTGCTGCTGGTGAAGTGCAGTATGGGTAATAGTGCAAATGGCAGTTGTACACTCTGCAGGACGTTGAGCCAGCTGTTGAGTTGGTCCAGCTCGGTCGTGGCCAGCAAGGCTACGGCAATCGTGGGCACCATCGCTATGGAACGAGTCACCAACACTCGCTTCCATTTTGCCCAACGAATGCCCAAAAATCCCTACCCAAAACAAAATTATACGTAGACTATAAACATCCACATCCATGTGATATAGCAATGCCCTGCAAATCTACACCTCAACATATGATACATAATGTATCGTCTTACCAATTAATAATATACAATTTCCAAAACGCAATATTTACCATGTTTTGCAACAAGCAGCTAGACAACTACATGTGATTCTGACTGAAAGATAAATATATCCCTGGTAAGTCCAGACCTGATTAAACTGGACATCTGTTAATATGGGCAATGGGTGGACATAAGTCTCACAGTAGAAGGCCATTTCTTACCTCCATCACAAACTGCCCAGCATATGTACCCTGAAATAGAAAGCAATGCTCTGTACTATTGTATATCATTAACAGATATTTTGAAGTTTAACACTTTTCCCCCAATTTCTCAAAATATCACTTCATGTTTAGACATTTTCTGTAAATAGCACAGGACCTCAAACATCACAGGACTTCGAACATAGCAATCAGCAATAGCTAGACTATAGGAAGTCTAAACCATGACTGGTCAAACACTGCAATCAGCAACAGTAAGACCATGAGAAGTCTAAACAGTGACTTGTCAAACATCGCAATCAGCAACAGAAAGACCATCAGAAGTCTAAACCATGACTGGTCAAACACTGCAATCAGCAACAGCATGACCATGGGAAGCCTAAATAGTGATTGGTCAAACATTGCAATCAGCAATAGTAAGACCATGTGAAGTCTAAATGATGACTGGTCAAACATTGCAATCAGTAACCGCATGACCATGGGAAGCCTAAATGATGACTGGTCAAACATTACAATCAGCAATAGCAAGACCATGGGAAGCCTAAACAGTGACTAGTCAAACATCGCAATCAGAAACAGCAAGACCATGGGAAGCCTAAATGATGACTGGTCAAACATTACAACCAGCAATAGGAAGACCATGGGAAGCCTAAACAATGTCTAGTCAAACATCGCAATCAGCAACAGCAAGACCATGGGAAGCCTCAATGATGACTGGTCAAACATTGCAATCAGCAATTGTCTTAATCTTAATCTTAAAAGAAAATACTATAATGAAATGGTTTATTAAATTTATTAAAAGCGAGCAAAGACTTGCATTACATTAATTTCAAGGTTTAGAGTATTCCTACTCTGATAACAATGGTAGACTCACGGTCATGGTGGAGCTCTGGCCTGCAGCTAACACCCCAATACCCCAGATTATCTTCATACCAAGCCCATAGTTCTCAGCGATCCAGTCGCCCTGGAAACAAGAGGTGCTTAGTCTGAATATATTGAACCTTCTTCATATAGCTGGAATATTGAAGACTTCGGTGTGAAACACAAAAACCAAAAAAGTGCCAAAGTAAGTATAAAACAGGGCCATGGCACTCTACCTGACTGAGGCACATGCAGTTATCAGTTTGAAATGTTGGCAAAACACAAGTTGCTGTCACCATTAATATTGAAAACATTGTTGTCTAAATACTGAGGACAAAAGACTATAATTAAAATCTCTTTGTACAAAATGAGAAACACACATGCCATAGTTCCACTCATTAAGTCACATACACCTAAAATTTACCAGTTTGGTGAAAACCGGGTCAATATATATAAAAACCTACAGTAATAGGAAAACGTGGAATTAACTTCCTGCATGTCATGGTGGGACCATCTCAAAAGTCAAATGGAGGAAATTACAATCATATCCTGAAGTAGTGGGCCATCCCACAAAACCTTCCCCATTGCCACATAAAAAATGAAAATGGGGACATTCTTAAAGGGGTTCTTGATGTCCAGTTTTCCCTATTTCATAATGATTCAAACTGCTTGCACTATAGAAGAGGATAATAACATAACAATTCAAGATGCTGGTAAGCCGGAAGAGCTCAACACTCAATCTCACTTCACAACAATTCACAATGCTGGCAGTGTGCGAGAATTCAACTCTTATTCATACATGAAATGGAAATGGCTGTACATTTTCAGGGTATGACTATGAAATATACTGTTTATTAATATCACCTAAACTTAATTTACTGAAGGAAACAGCAGATAACCCCCAACCCAATATTAAGGAAGTAGATCCATATCTGACCAAAAAAGCTCTCTCTCGACTTCTCCAGTGTCTACAATAAAACCAACATTTGTATGTGTGCATTTCTCAAATATGAGAGCACAAAGGCTCTGTAGCTCACCTGATTAGTTTCTGGATTATTATATTTGATCAGTATGCAATGAAGGGGAAAGAGGAAAAAGAAAAACAACCAACAGACGTTTCTACACAACAGACATCCTCCCTATATTGTCAGTACTGTAATGGCCGATGCGTAACCTGTACTATGCATGACCAAGTGGTCACTCAGTTACATGAAGCTCGTGAAGATCCGGGTTAGAATTGATCTTCAGTAACCCATGCTTGTCGTAAGGGAGACTAGAGGTGGTCAGACTCGCTGACTTGGTTGACACATGTCGTCGTATCCCAATTGCATAGATCGATGCTGTTGATCACTGGATTGTCTGGTCCAGACTCAATTATTTACAGACCGCCACAATATAGCTGGAATATTGCTGAGAGCGGCGTAAAACTAAACTCACTCACTCAGTTACATGGAGCGGAACAGTTTCAGGTACAGGACACAAAGAAGCACAACTACCTCACAAATGACCCTTCTGGTGACCTTGACTCGATCAAGAGCAACCCAATTAATAGCCCAAAGTATAAAACAAAACAAATTCCGCCTGTTACTAGAGTTATCATTATTGTAATAAATGTTTCAACAAATCCAGGCTAACAGTAGAAATAAATACACCATCAAACAAGTATGGTCTGTCCCCAGACGAAGTACCCACAGCTTTGCGTAGACTGGGATTGGCAGCATACTTGGGGTCGGAGAAGGCTGCTGCAAACACTGCCACCACAAACAGGTTGATGAGGAAGGACACAAACAGAGCAATGGCTGAAAGAAATAGTACATGAATATACATTCAACTGTTGGTAAATCGGTATCTTTCCTGGCCCAACACACAGCAATATATCCTTCTTCACTTCCAATGCATAACACAGAACCCCTTCAACAACTGGGGTGCCCAATGCCCATTGTTACAATCAGAGACATCCGTGATCTTGTTCTTGAGCTCTCAAATCCCTTCTCATTGCACCAGGAGAATCACTGTGCTTGCTTTGACATTGAAAAATTGCAACAGAATAATGTTTCTTCCATTGTTTGGACATTAGCATGGAAATAGGTGAGCAAGCCTAATATAGAGGTGTGAGTACTTCTTTAAATATGGACTGTGTGCCATTGAGAGGATTAAGACATGCACAATGATTTCCTGTTGTGATATAGGTAGTTTCAAAGATGATTAATATTTCCATTTATCAAAAGACATGGATTAAACTTACCTGATTCAATAGCATAATACATGTTGGCCTCTTTCACACTGTTTCTGTTGCTTCGATCTATACTTCGGGACTGGAATGAAATGTATGTATGTAGCGGGACTGTGTGAACATTGCATTCAGCTAATGAGGATGTTTTACCCACTTGCCTGAAATGGTCTAGCAATAGGATCAACACCAGAACATAAACTCCTGAATATTATTCTGGCTTTTACAGAAACATCATTGAAAACAGTAAAAGTACAATTATTATGCATATGGGTAGAAAAATAAGTGGACAGAAATAATAACATTGTTGCAGATTTCAAGAACAAATGGCCATTACAATTTTCACAAATGTGTGAAACGAAACATTAGATATGAATTACCCTGTACCATGCATTTCTGTGTGAACCAATTGTATAGAACTAACATATGGTGTATAAACAGTTATGAAAAACAGAAAGAAAATGTTTCATTCACACAAAGACCTGAATTTGGAAGGTCAAGCATATTGTGGAAGGCTTCCATTGTTTGTTGTTTACTGCTACCCTCAGCAATACTCATGCTACTGACCAGTACTAGAGCGCTGTGCAGGTAGATGTTGTGTGGCATGATGACGGCACCAACAATCCCCACCAGCTGTTGGATGGCATTCTTGTCACAGTCTTGGCACCATGGGAACCAGAGACCCTGCAGGATGGCGAGTTGGTCTGGCTTGATCTTGATGTACTGCAAGAAGGGAGGACTGTGGTCAGTGAATGTGGTATGCCCATCAGCAATAATACGTTCAATATACATGTCATTAAATCAGAAACATCTCTGAGCGAAGACAAATACGTCCATGGGGCAATCAGTGCAAGGCTTCTACATTCTAGGGCTTGTACACCATGAAACAAAAGCCCGAGCGGTGTACACAAATGATTGTCAAATATCAAACAACCAAAACAACCTACAAACCAACAAACAACAGCTGTGATGATGCAATTTTTTATTTATTTATTTATTTTTTCAATCTTCAAATGACCTTTGTCAAACATATTCCCTGGATGGCTGAATCACCCAGCTCTACTCAAGATAATAACTTGATAATCTTTTGACAAACATATTGTGTCATACTATATTGCAACCACTGATGAATTCCATGTAAATGTTGGTTTGTGATAGTTATCAATCTCAGATGAACATATCTTCTTGACCGTCATCATGGAATGATCACGAAGAACAGATAGCCTGAGTATCGTGTAGGTTATTCCACGTGGTACTGTTCGGTATTTTACGAGAAGAGAAAGAGGCACATCGCTGATAGCCTCCTACAGTTCAGATGGTGTGATCAATTTGTTGATCAATTTTAAAAAATATTTTTTATTTTTTGATGATGATGCAATTGCCTTGTATGTCAGATCAGCATCAGGTACTATGGGCAGGAGTCACAGATTACAAAGGAGAGCCAAAACAGTCCTACATCACATATTCCATCACAGACAAGTACAGCTGAGACACAGCCTCAAGAAGACATCACAGCCTGTGTTAGCTGGGTTACCAACAGGAATGGTAAGGAAGGACATCTCCATATTCCGAGTCATCTGAACAGTTCAACTAATTCCAGCACCTACTTACCATATACAGGAAGGCAGCAGCCATGGTTGTGATGAAAGCTCCAAACAGTGCCTCCAGCTTGCGGAGCCCAGCGTTCTCCAGGAACAGGAAGGTGAAGGTGTCTACACCAGTGATCAACACACCTGCCCAGATGGGGATTCTGTACATACACAGTTGCATTAGACATCTCTCATGTAGGAGGAACATTCCCCACTATGATCTAATGACACAAACATATTGTTCTTTAGACAAGGGACTCTCCATGTTGATCATTGACAAAGGTAGAGCTGTTTATAAATTTACATTGGGTCAATGGGCAGATGGTTTGAAGACCTGATGAGTGAGAAGCAGAATATTTGATGGAAGGATGGACATTTAACAGCTGGAAGGATTGATGGATGGCTGTACTGCCAACCCACAGGCAATAAATTAACTGATTATATTTTCACTGCCATGAGAGAAGTTATTATTGGTATCAACCCGAAGGCACATTAATATCTCCAGCTTATGCAAGGTGTTCTGTCATATACCAGTATAGCAGCAAATACTTGCATGTGATTGGACAAAAGGTTGATGGCAATGGCAGATCCAATGACCTCCTGAATATCACTTCCTATGATGGCCAGCTCTGTCATCATCCACAAAACAATACGAGGAGCTTTAGGGTATTCTTGTCGACAAACCTCTGCCAAGTGCATTCCTAAAAAGTATACAGGACATAGTTTATGAGGACATAAGGGACCGTTCATCATTAATAGTTAATAGAGAAGCATGTACAATGTGAATGACCCACCTTAAAATTAATGTACAAAGTCTATGACCCCTCCTGCAAGTTATGTACAAAATCAATGCCCCGCCTCCCCTTAATTCTTAAACATAATTGTTTAACATTTTTATGTACAAAATTGTTGAAAGCCCCCATCCCAGTACATGTGTACAAAATTGCTGACCCTCCACCTCACAAGAACAAAATGGGTGACCCCTCCTTAAAATCATTATCACCCCCTAGCCATAAATTATGAACAGTCCCTAATTTCTCAAGAATATAAAATATGCCTGCAACTTGATGACGTCAATTGTGCAAATGCCACTTTTCTGAGGGTGGTGAGTTGTTCCTCTTAGTACTGTTGTACCCAGTTGATGCTTGTTAGAAACATACACATGCAATTTCTTAGAAGGTTTCAAAAATTATGTTTGAAAAAAAAATGTTTATATACTCCATTTCCCTTTCTGATAATATACATACACATATATATTGATATTCAGGAAACTCCATCACCCCCATTTTCATAGCATGGACTTGTCTGACATAGCCAAGACTGTATTCAGAGAGTCGACATTTTTCTGCTTGTAAACTTTATTAACATCATGAAAGAAGCTCATCATACAGTATGAACATTTGAAACAAAAAGTTATATATTTCTTATATAAATGATATTGCTTCTGAATGTGATTTGACAGTAAACATTCCTTAAATTTGTAGAATAGACTAACACAAGGGCCCTGATTTTGTAAGCTCTCTTAGAGCTAAGATAGTCATAAGTGCCATACATTAACATTAACTTATGACTATCTTAGCTCTAAGAGAGCTTCGAAAATCTAGGCCCTGGGCAAGAAGTATCTTGCCTGTCACACATCCTAATCTGGCCGCCAGCAGCTGCAGCACCAACCCCATCACTGTCGACCACATCAACACCCACAGCAGCTGCAACAACACAGTTCATAGTAGGTCAGTGTGGTAGGGAACGTTGGAGTGAGGGGGTGTGACTGTGAGCGAGTAAGTGAGGAATTAGCACCTTGACAGCATTTCCTCCTCATGGCCTGACGTACTTCCCTACCTCTTCCATCCTTAACCTATCAATTCCTAACCATGTTTAACCCGATCACCTATAAACCAGTGAGTGAGTTTAGTTTTACGCCTCACTCAGCAATATTCCAACTATATGGCGGCGGTCTGTAAATAATTGAGTCTGGACCAGACAATCCAGTGATCAACAGCAGGAGCATCGATCTGTGCAATTGGGAACTGATGACATGTGTCAACCAAGCCAGCGAGCCTGACCACCTGATCCCATTAGTCGCCTCTTACGACAAGCATGGGTTACTGAAGGTACATTCTAACCCGATTCTTCCCCAGTCACCTGTTAACCAACCCTGTGCCTGCTGTAATTATAGAAAGGAAGAGAACCCAAGTAAAGGGTAACTCTTGGGAAGTCCAAGTCCTTTGGGCTTTACCCACACATTTCATAACTGTTATCATGTTAGTAATGGCTTTCATATATCATTCAAATGCTCCATCCATGCTTTCTCACAATTTCAACAAAACTGTACTGTTAACACAATGCAGTCATTTCTCCAGTTCAAGTTATTTCCTCTATGAAATTACCTTGTACTTCGCAATGGCTCCTGACTGCAAGTCTGACTCGATATTCCCCGGATCCAGATAAGCAATGCTCATCAAGAAGCCTGGCCCTGTGAAGGCCCATAGTTTCTTGAAGCTGAAACCAGCCTATAACAAAGGAATTGGTCACTGATAGTGTTGTATACTGCAGCCATGAATAATTTCTTTTTATTTGCAAGCATTTGTGACAAAAGTGGCAAGAATATATTAAATGATATAAAAATAATTATTTTGGAAGCTGGGCTTGCAACAGTCACAGTCCTGATGTGCTTTAATATCAGCCTTTATCTCAACATAATAGCAGTTGGATGACATCCTTAGATTTTTTTACGATGCAGCATTGGCATTTCCTGTTGTAATTATGTATGATAGTGATCAACGTAATCAGGAATTCAGGACTTGTTGTTTGTATGGCTGTAGATTAAACCATTTCGAAACCAGGATCAAAATAATGCTTCATTTCTGTGCCTTGTTACGGTAACTATTAAAATGGAACACATGAAATAATTTCAATGTGCCGTGGCGGCATGACTAAAATTATGATAATAATTCTCACGATTCATTTAATAACAAATGCTATAAAATTTAACCAACTCAAAATGATTCAAAACCACCCAAACTGTTTATTGGTGGCAATCTCAATCTCACAGTTTAACATGGGCATGGCCATTTTCAATAACTGCACATACCAGGAAATCCAGGTTTGATGATAACATAGTTTGTGGGTTAGTTTTAGGGTCCCGGACAAATGAAACTGAACTGTTATTGCAGTCGTGATAGTGTTCAGGAAATCGAGCTGTCAAGTTTACAGGTTTACATGTAATTTCAGTAGGCCACACATAAATTATGTTGGGTGCCCAATGGCCCCCTGACATTTAAAAAAAAAATGCATTTCTATTCCTGCATGTCTGTCATGAAGATTTTCTTTTTAATTGTTTAAGAATTTCTTCCACCAACAATTCCTGAATAGTTATTGTGAAATATGTCAGTCAAAATCTCGTGTTTATGTATTTCAGTGTTTGACAAAGCCATTGTGTGGAATTAACTCCATGCTTCCTTAGTGTCGAGGCTCTGAATTTTGTCCATTGGACAAGATCACAACTTCATCAGTGAGCATGTCTGGAACTTTGTTGCGTGTTGTGTCTGTGTATATAATATGTTTATGTATGTAAACTGAACACTGAACATCACATCGCTTTAGAGGCAACTAGGACTGCCAGGTATTACCAGAATACTGGTATACTGCAATACACTTTTCAAACGATGCGTATTGTAATATTTTTGTCTGAAAACCGGTATATTGGGGAAAGAGCATATACATGAATGATGTTTTTGTGTTTATCTGTAATGTAGAAAATGGGATTGACATGTACAGTCAGTTTCACCTATTGTCAAGTTCCATTACCACACAGCGGTAACACGCAAAGGTTTAAAGTTATAAAACTTCTGGACAGTTATTATCTTCTGCCTTTGGCATGCACGTCCGATCTAAACGGAAGCATTTATTCGAATTTTGCAGCTTTGAATTTTATTTAGAGTTTCATTAAACACTTACAGCACTAGTGAAGAATGACCTTGTACCCAATAGATACATGGGATATTGCACATAATACCAGTTGAACATCTACAGCACTAGTGAAGAAGGACCTTGTACCTGGTAGATACGTGGGATATTGCACATAATACCAGTTGAACATCTACAGCACTAGTGAAGAATGACCTTGTACCCAATAGATACATGGGATATTGCACATAATACCAGTTGAACATCTACAGCACTAGTGAAGAATGACCTTGTACCTGGTAGATACATGGGATATTGCACATAATACCAGTTGAACACCTATACCACTAGTGAAGAATGACCTTGAACCCAATAGATACATGGGATATTGCACATAATACCAGTTGAACATCTATAGCACTAGTGAAGAATGACCTTGTACCTGGTAGATACATGGGATATTGCACATAATACCAGTTGAACATCTACAGCACTAGTGAAGAATGACCTTGTACCCAATAGATACATGGGATATTGCACATAATACCAGTTGAACATCTACAGCACTAGTGAAAAATGACCTTGTACCCAATAGATACATGGGATATTGCACATAATACCAGTTGAACACTTACAGCAATAGTGAAGAATGACCTTGTACATGGTAGATACGTGGGATATTGCACATAATACCAGTTGAACACTTACAGCACTAGTGAAGAATGACCTTGTACCTGGTAGATACATGAGATATTGCACATAATACCTGTTGAACACTTACAGCACTAGTGAAGAATGACCTTGTACATGGTAGATACAGGAGATATTGCACATAATACCAGTTGAACATCTACAGCACTAGTGAAGAATGACCTTGTACATGGTAGATACATGGGATATTGCACATAATACCAGTTGAACATCTACAGCACTAGTGAAGAAGGACCTTGTACATGGTAGATACATGGGATATTGCACATAATACCAGTTGAACATCTACAGCACTAGTGAAGAATGACCTTGTACCCAATAGATACATGGGATATTGCACATAATACCAGTTGAACACTTACAGCAATAGTGAAGAATGACCTTGTACATGGTAGATACGTGGGATATTGCACATAATACCAGTTGAACACTTACAGCACTAGTGAAGAATGACCTTGTACCTGGTAGATACATGAGATATTGCACATAATACCTGTTGAACACTTACAGCACTAGTGAAGAATGACCTTGTACATGGTAGATACAGGAGATATTGCACATAATACCAGTTGAACACCTACAGCACTAGTGAAGAATGACTTTGTACCTGGTAGATACATGGGATATTGCACATAATACCAGTTGAACACTTACAGCACTAGTGAAGAATGACCACTAGTGAAGAATGACCTTGTACCCAGTAGATACAGGAGATATTGCACATAATACCAGTTGAATACTTACAGCACTAGTGAAGAATGACCTTGTACCCAGTAGATACATGGGATACTGCACATAATACCAGTTGAACACCTACAGCACTAGTGAAGAATGACCTTGTACCCAATAGATACATGGGATATTGCACATAATACCAGTTGAACACCTACAGCACTAGTGAAGAATGACCTTGTACCTGGTAGATACATGGGATATTGCACATAATACCAGTTGAACACTTACAGCAATAGTGAAGAATGACCTTGTACATGGTAGATACGTGGGATATTGCACATAATACCAGTTGAACACTTACAGCACTAGTGAAGAATGACCTTGTACCTGGTAGATACATGAGATATTGCACATAATACCTGTTGAACACTTACAGCACTAGTGAAGAATGACCTTGTACCATGGTAGAATGACCAGTTGAACACTACAGCACTAGTGAAGAATACCTTGTACATGGTAGATACAGATATTGCACATAATACCAGTTGAACATCTACAGCACTAGTGAAGAATGACCTTGTACATGGTAGATACATGGGATATTGCACATAATACCAGTTGAATACCAGTTGAAGAATGACACATGGTTACAGCACTAGTGAAGAATGACCTTGAACCCAATAGATACATGGGATATTGCACATAATACCAGTTGAACATCTATAGCACTAGTGAAGAATGACCTTGTACCTGGTAGATACATGGGATATTGCACATAATACCAGTTGAACATCTACAGCACTAGTGAAGAATGACCTTGTACCCAATAGATACATGGGATATTGCACATAATACCAGTTGAACATCTACAGCACTAGTGAAGAATGACCTTGTACCCAATAGATACATGGGATATTGCACATAATACCAGTTGAACACTTACAGCAATAGTGAAGAATGACCTTGTACATGGTAGATACATGGGATATTGCACATAATACCAGTTGAACACTTACAGCACTAGTGAAGAATGACCTTGTACCTGGTAGATACATGAGATATTGCACATAATACCTGTTGAACACTTACAGCACTAGTGAAGAATGACCTTGTACATGGTAGATACAGGAGATATTGCACATAATACCAGTTGAACATCTACAGCACTAGTGAAGAATGACCTTGTACATGGTAGATACATGGGATATTGCACATAATACCAGTTGAACATCTACAGCACTAGTGAAGAAGGACCTTGTACATGGTAGATACATGGGATATTGCACATAATACCAGTTGAACATCTACAGCACTAGTGAAGAATGACCTTGTACCCAATAGATACATGGGATATTGCACATAATACCAGTTGAACACTTACAGCAATAGTGAAGAATGACCTTGTACATGGTAGATACATGGGATATTGCACATAATACCAGTTGAACACTTACAGCACTAGTGAAGAATGACCTTGTACCTGGTAGATACATGAGATATTGCACATAATACCTGTTGAACACTTACAGCACTAGTGAAGAATGACCTTGTACATGGTAGATACAGGAGATATTGCACATAATACCAGTTGAACACCTACAGCACTAGTGAAGAATGACTTTGTACCTGGTAGATACATGCACATAATACCAGTTGATATTGCACATAATACCAGTTGAACACTTACAGCACTAGTGAAGAATGACCTTGTACCCAGTAGATACATGGGATACTGCACATAATACCAGTTGAACACCTACAGCACTAGTGAAGAATGACCTTGTACCCAATAGATACATGGGATATTGCACATAATACCAGTTGAACACCTACAGCACTAGTGAAGAATGACCTTGTACTTGGTAGATACATGGGATATTGCACATAATACCAGTTGAACACTTACAGCACTAGTGAAGAATGACCTTGTACCTGGTATCTAGATACATGGGATATTGCACATAATACCAGTTGAACACTTACAGCACTAGTGAAGAATGACCTTTACCTGGTAGATACATGGGATATTGCACATAATACCAGTTGAACACTTACAGCACTAGTGAAGAATGACCTTGTACCTGGTATCTAGATACATGGGATATTGCACATAATACCAGTTGAACACCTACAGCACTAGTGAAGAATGACCTTTACCTGGTAGATACATGGGATATTGCACATAATACCAGTTGAACACCTACAGCACTAGTGAAGA